GTACCAAGAACAACAAATACAAATTTGATGCCTAATTATGCAAACATCAAATTAATTAAAGACAGACTTGTAGATTGTTCCTTCCGTTACTTTGATAAAAAATTATATAAAACTGACTCATTAACAGAAATAAATCGCTATGTCATACACGATGATGATAGGCCTTAATACATCTCCCCACTAAAATTTTTACTACAAGAATAAAGAAAACCTACGCTAAACATAAACATATCGCTTAGAATTGGGTATTATTTGTGAATTTAAAAGGGTTTTTTATATGTGAAATACGCGACTGATAATTATTTCTTGTGTAGAAAAAGTCGTTTTGCTATGAAACTGTTTGATAGTGTATACAACCAAATGAAGAGAAATAATTATATGGAACTGTTTGATAGTGTATATGACCAAATGAAGAGAAATAATTATATGGAACTGTTTGATAGTGTATATGACCAAATGAAGAGAAATAATTATATGGAACTGTTTGATAGTGTATATGACCAAATGAAGAGAAATAATTATATGGAACTGTTTGATAGTGTATATGACCAAATGAAGAGAAATGATTGTATGGAACTGTTTGCGAGTATATACAACCAAATGAAGAGAAATGATTATATGGAACTGTTTGCGAGTGTATACGACCAAATGAAGAGAAATGATTATATGGAACTGTTTGCGAGTGTATACGACCAAATGAAGAGAAATGATTATATGGAACTGTTTGCGAGTATATACAACCAAATGAAGAGAAATAGTTATATGGAACTGTTTGCAAGTATATACGACCAAATGAAGAGAAATAATTATATGGAACTGTTTGCAAGTATATACAACCAAATGAAGAGAAATAATTATATGGAACTGTTTGCAAGTATATACGACCAAATGAAGAGAAATAATTATATGGAACTGTTTGCAAGTATATACGACCAAATGAAGAGAAATAATTATATGGAACTGTTTGCAAGTATATACGACCAAATGAAGAGAAATAATTATATGGAACTGTTTGCAAGTATATACAACCAAATGAAGAGAAATAATTATATGGAACTGTTTGCAAGTATATACAACCAAATGAAGAGAAATAATTATATGGAACTGTTTGCAGTATATACAACCAAATGAAGAGAAATAATTATATGGAACTGTTTGCAAGTATATACAACCAAATGAAGAGAAATAATTATATGGAACTGTTTGCGAGTGTATACGACCAAATGAAGAGAAGTGGTAAAGTAGCACTAAATGCTATAGATGGTCTATTAATGGACAAGTTCCTGAAAAGGAGAGTAAAATCAATATTCCAATGCAGTGTTTTATACTAGTGTTCCTCGATTTCGTGAATAACCATATAGTACTTGGAAGTTCATAAAAAACAACAATAAAGGAGGGAGGAAAAAGTCCGAGTGAACCTTGCCCTCCCAGGTTGCGCACAACGACCAAACACCGATACAGCAACGATGAACACTAGATGCAATTTTAAGATTGGTTTAATTTTGAATTTTCAGTTAAGTTAACGATATTAATCAGCCAGAATCGGAGGCTATAATTATAGGGAAATAAATGTAGGGGGCCTAATTACTTTTTAGGCGAGGGGCCCATCTTTTATAGTTACGCCACTGCGAACACTTAGATTATTATAAATCTTAAAATATATTTTGTTCTCTCTTAATTTTATTATTTTTTAATTGTTAAAGTTATTCATTTTTATTATTATATTATTGTTTCATGTTATACTTTTTAAATTTTTTAATCAATGACTCGTCGCTATTTTCTTTACTTTTGCTTTATTGTTCTTATGTATTGTTTAAATCTTAAGTTTCTCAAGCGCGTAACATTCTTTTCTCGTGTGTAGTGTTCAGTTCAGAGAGTCCTGCATTTGTCATTAAAGTAACCGACCGGTTTGTTTCTGGCTTGACAAAGAGCGCTTGCTCGAAACGCTACATAGGAAAGTTAAAAAAGAAAACCTAAAAATGTTTACATGATTTATCTTCAAAAGTTATATTTATTTATTTCATCACCACTTTTTTTTCATTAAGTAAACTAATGAAGATTATCATCTTTTTTTTTCTTCAAGACATTCCTTTACTGTAATATAAAGTATTTAAGTTATAGCATATTTCTTAATACAATATGCAGCATTTTCTTACGTTAACTAGCGAGTTCCTTGAACTGATGTGAACTTAATTTATTTTGCCTTCAGTTTTTGTATGGTCATTTGAGAGCATGACTGGGACTCAATTGCACAACTTAATTTTTTATGCTGACTAAGGCATCCAATCCCATTGTCACAATCATTACCTTTCACCGCCCACCGATCATGTAAGGGGTTGCAAAATTAATCACACTTTTTTCCCCGAAGTAATGACAAACTTGGTAGGACTGCGAATATCATCACTCGTGAGAAAACGTCATTTCAACGTACTCTTGGGTGTTTCACTCTTCGAATTTCATTTTTTGCAAAAACATTTGAATCATGGTGCTCACTCGCATGTGCTGCCTTCGGGATGGCTCAGAAACTAGGCGCAGATATGCTCCGAGAATTCAAGTCTTCCAATCGACACATCGCAGTGCCAAATTTGAAAAACCCGTTTAATGCCTCAAACGATTCAGAATTGTTGAATTTGAAAGAGTGATCCGTGAAAAAGTGGTGGAATGTGGATTGGGAACTCTCCAGATTTAAATCCCGCCGAAAATGTCGG